ATTTCGGGGAGCCATACTCGCCATTCGTGCCACTAAGCTCGAATTGAATGATACGCGGATAAATTAGGCTAGCGTAAGCCCTTTTTTGGGCCGCAAAATAGAAGCGAGCGTGCCAACCGATATCTTTTAACGACGTTTGCATTAACGCATGCCCGAGGGTGCGTGCGTTAATGGATTAATAAATCCCCCATCAAAAACGTTATAGCGATTCTCCGCGTTGGAAATGGAGAAGATAAATATTGAAATCAGCATTTTTGTTCCGCTAATGAAGAAAGTTAATTAGGTTAGAAAAGCATTTCAGCATTTAATTTAAAATACAAACGTTTCATATTTGAAGACTTATTAAGTATCAAAGTGTTTCGACAGTGTGTGATCTCAATTTCGAGAATAGCCTTTCTAATTAATCGGTCTATGTAATAAATACTTCGTTTAAACAAATAATTTTTGAATAATGAAATATAACTCCCTAAGCTTCTACGTCACAATCAAATGACATAATCGTTTCAATCGAACATATTTATTATTCATAGAAATTGACTTCATTTTCTTTATAAATTAGATGGATCATTTAATTACCAAAATATTTAATGTGTGTTATGTATTAAAAGTTGTAATTTTCTTTATTAAAAAAATTGAAACACAACACACATCGTTAATTTTTCTCCGACATTAGTATTTTTCTTTCAATATACTTTCAATTTCTTTCAATACGAATAACGAAAACCTAATAAAATATCGACAATTTTTACGTTTGACGAAATGGCGGTCGTTGTTATGGCGAGGTCACCTTTGATCATGAACCATACTGCTCTCGAATGTACAACCATACTCATTGTTCGACGTTACCGCACACTGGGCTCTAACGATCGCGTTCGCAGTTCGCGATAAATCGCCGTCGTTAACGCTACGAGGGTACCATACATTTTATTTCCGTGTCAGCGAGCTCGCGCTCGTGAAAAAGCGCGAGAAGGGCCGAAAGATTTATGCCGAACGATGCTAATCGAAGAATTAAGTAGCAACAGTAATTTAACGCGAGACCGATGATTTAGGTCGAGAACCGGTTGAATCTAGATTTATCTTTTCTAAATTTCCTTGCCATTATTGAAATTGATCATCAATCAAATAGGTTTTTTTTCCAAGTTCTGGAAAAAGTGGGTTAAATCCTTGTTGTGCATTAAACCCTCAAATTATTTTAATGATTGAAAAACTTATGTGATCGTTTATCCAGGAAATGCGAATACGCATAAGATAGATTACCGTTCGTATGACCTCGTATCTGCGTAGAATATATAATTACATAGGTCTCGAAGGCTTTCTAGAAGGAATGGATAACATACAGGATATTCAGATAGAGTTATTATAGTTTCCTCCACCTTATAATTCATCGATGATAAGTGCGATTTAAATCAGGGCATAGAGCATGATCGTAGACTCCTGGAAAATCGTCTATATGTCTAAAGCAGGCCTGTAAACGGCCGGAAATAAGTTTGCCGTAATCACTCTTGCCATTATTCTTCTTCAAACCATATGCTTTATTATGGCAGACTGTTCACGCTGACGGCTGCCCCAGCAAATGCGACATGTCTCCTCTCTCTTTATAATGACAGTCTGTCTTGGTTTATAGACCGCAAGTATTTTTTTTTAATCATTATACAATAATATTTATATTCAGTCAAAGTCGTATGATGTATTACACTTCGATAGTTACCCACTTCAGTGTACGGTATATTTACTACTACTTTCACGGCTCTACTAACGATCAAATGTTCCTTACTCAGGTATTATCTATCTAGAAATTTTCCCATTTCCATTTTTATGCGCGGAAGCACGCAAACGACTTCACCGATATCCTAAGTAACATTAAATATATGACGCAGGTGTCGTAAATGGTAATTAAATGACCTAAGTGCCATCGTCCAACCTCGCGAGCTGGAGAATCGCCACGTCTAATCGGCGTACGCGAATAATGCGAATAGCCATTTATGTACGTTATTTTTCCACCGCGCGTACCGCTTCGTGGATTATCTCGCGTCACGAATCGTCACGACGGCGTGCGGGAATATGTCAAATACGGTTAAAAAATAAGCGAACGGGACGAGCGAGCAGCACGCTTCGAGCGCCAGCCACTTATCTACACTGTCGATCACGACATTCCGCTCCGGTAATGCCGATTATCGCGATAATAATTAAGCGTAATTGGAACGCAGCCAGGCACGCGACCCTCGGTCGTTCTTTCAAGCAGATGCGTTCCACCTCTCCCGGGAGAGGCGCGCCTGCGAAGACGATCATAAATGTCGTCCTCGCGTTCTTCCCCGGAGGCGAGAGAGGTGCCGTTGCAGGTGCGCGAAACACATGCCGGTCCCGAACGAGTGCGAAACAAAAGAAAGGAAAAAGGAACGACGTGAGGAGACAAAATAACAATGCGGAACTAAACTCGATTCAGATATTTGGCGATAGCTTATCAGGACTCCGATTAAGATCGGGACAAATCGAGCTTAATTGTCCAGAACGATCATCGATTTATCGCGCGCTTAGATTCGTCGGCGATGGAGAACGATCGTTAGCGATATGAACTCACAAAAGGCGATAATTTTATGCGAATGACGCGGCGATTGACTGCAAACGTTGGAATCTGTAAAAGTTTTAATGTAATGTTGCGGACACATGTCGCGCTTTTGTCGTAGACGTGATAGAAATCGGAAGATCAGAAAAATTGCGTCCGCTGCGTGTTAGTGAAGTCAGGAGGCACGAGTTCGGCGTATGAATGAGATATCTTTAACATATTCTAGAAAATGCATCGCATGCACACGAGTCCGTTTGCAATTCGATCGCCGTGACATGCATATGAATGCGAAAAATGTCTATCAAGCAATGTCTATTATATTTTGATAATCTAGTAATGTTATTAGAATTTAATTATATTATGTAGCAAAAATTTAATAATAAAAATGAGATTGTGTATAGAAATGTTTAAAGATATTAATTTTTATAAAATTTTATCTGCTTCCCGAAAGTATATGCATTAAAATTTAACTTCTCCCTTTTAAAAAAAACAACAGTATTAATCTGCAGGTGCAGCAATTGCGCATAACATGCATGCAACGAGCAGACCATTGGATATGTTACAACATTGCATACGTGTATAAAGTGCATTTTAATAAGGATGCGTGCAAGATATACATAGCAAATTACAACAGTTTTAGTTTCCTATAATTTAGAAGTTATCAACTTTAACATAAGTATATAATACGAAACTGTTTGTTGTGACTTAAATTCTCGCAAATTTTGTAAAATGATATATACCAAATATAAGTATTTATGTATAAGAGAAAGCCTACTATTCTTGAAATAAAGATCGCACACAATTTAAACATTTTGATGTTTAAATTGTGTGCGATCTTCAATAAATCTTCAAATATGTATATTTGTATTGTTTTTAAATTAAATGCTTAAATTTTTTTCTGTTCTATTAATTATAGAGTGGAGCTAAAATAGTTAAGTAATCTGATTAAATTTTAGTAAGAGGAAGATAATATAAAATGTCAGTTTTAAGAGTCAATAAAATCAATTTTTATATTGTACGGTTACTGCGAAGAAAGTATATTTTCCCCTCGCGGAGATATATCCCTCTCGAAGTTTCGATAGACATTAATTTCGTTCGCGCTCCCTAGAAAGAAATTAATTGCCGGGCAGATCCCATAAGACGATCTAAATTAATTGTCTTGAGAATACGAGTCGATATCCGTTGATCTTCGCTATAAAGGGATCGGCCACGCTCTCGAGAGACAACTTGAGAGATGCACGACTCACTGTGCGATAGCGGTAATTAGTTCAATTTCTGCGACTACAGACGCGTTCACCTTCGAGTACTCCCCGAGTACTTCACGAGTCGAGCGTATAATTAAGCAATGACGACCACACACTTGGAGAACATGCGCACATTTTCCCTTCTGCATCTCTGTTTCTCCAAACTAGATCCTCTCTTTCTTTCTCTCTCTCTCTCTCCCTTTTTCTACACATTAACTTCCCCTCTAAATGCCTAAGCAATAAGTCACGAATCCAGTTGCACTACACTCGGCGCACATGCGAGGCTAAGATCATCGACACTTATATGGTTATAATACTTTCCTACGTCGATGCCTTCTCTCTCTCTCTCTCTCTCTCTCTCTCTCTCTCTCTCTCGTCCTGCTGTTTCTTCTCTTCTCTTCGTGACTTCTTCGGCTTCTATGCTCCTCAAGCAATTTTTCCTATCCATCGTGTTCTTACGTCGCGTGTATTTCTCGTTCGTAACTTCGACAAAAACGCGTGACGTTGTTCTCGCCGGTTACTCGAGCACTGTATGTATAAAGAACGTATTGTACAAAGAAAATGCACCGTGTCCCGGATAAGTCGACGACGTCTTAAATCACGCGGCTGTACGAAGCGCAACGCGGTAAAAACGGGCAGAAAGTATATTGAAGTCGAGAGTATCGTAGTTGTTGCTTCGCGCAGAATCGATTTGCCTGTCTACCTTCGAATAAATCTTAATAACATTATCCAACATAAATATTGTGGAACAATGTTAGGTTTTTATTTTTTTATTTTTATTTTACTTTTATTTTGACAATATTAGATTTTCATTTCTCCTTCATACACGTTTAGATTTTAAAAACAATCTTGAAGCTACTATTTAGAGTTTCAATTTCTCTATTTGTACATATACAATATACATATGCAAATACATGTATAAAATATGTGGCGATATGTACAATATAAGATAAACACCACAATAAAGAAAGTCACCGAATAACCATCAAATTCATAATTATTTTTGTATTATTTTGAACAAAAAAAGTATTTCTTTGAATAATACTTGAATTCTTTGAAAATCAGAAATATATTTAGCATTTTTAATTATAAATTTAATTATTTAATGGTGCATATTCTTATTTTAAAAAAGCTACACGTAAACATACGTTCCACGTAGCTCGTGAATCGGGAGCATTGGTTGTTACGATAGACTTAATTATTCGTGCATCTGCTTCCTCGCGATAGCGCGAGAAGAGGCGTGGATCAGATGCGATACATACTCGTGTGTGCGTATGTATACTCTCTGCGAGGTATAAAAGTACGGGTCTCCAATAAAACCGTGACGACGCGAGACGCGGTAGAAATGCAGCTGTAAAGCAGAAACTTTGAGAACTTATCCTAAACACGCGCAGTGGCTTCTTCGAGATCCGTATTGAAGCCCGTAATAAAGCTTCTCGCGAGCAAGCCACCCAAGTCGCTAAGTCTCAAATATAAGTATCATAAAATCCAACAAGTCACAAAAAAGTATCTATTGAAATCTAAAAGCATTTGACGTTTTTACAATTAAGTATATTTAATAAGTCTTTTTCTCTATTATATATATAAAAAAAAAATGAAAACAATCGGGTTTTCTTGATGGATTCAAATGATGGACTCAAATAATTCCATGTTTGTTAATTTCAACAACTCAACTAAAGCTATCAAACTGGCTGGAGGAGTGCATTACCCTCTTCGAAATAGAATACGTGGATTATATCGCTATTTCTGTTTTAACGTTCTGTTCCAACGTATAATAGGAAGTGCGAAAATAAACGGTAGATTTAATCGATTTTCTGTCTGCATTATCGCCGCGTAATACCTGGTTTCACAAGTGAACGCGCAAAAATAATATTTCCTACCCACGACGACATAAAGCGCAATACAAACAATTGCGATAATGCATTTCCATGGCCATTCCATGAGCTATTGTTCATCGTAGGCGTGCTTGTTTCGTGCAAAATGAAAAAGAAACAGAGGCGTATACTTCTCTGGAAATGGATATGGGCATTGTCGCTTGTGTGTTTCATAGAAATCCTCTCTCTAAACTCACCTGAAACAGAAAAGAAAGGGAATGGTTAGTGTTACGTTCTAGTGACAAACAATCAAATTGTTGCATTATTAGTTTGATTAATCAATTAAAACATTGCAGTAAAATATGATAAGAAATTTTTATGAGATGGTTATTACTTTCTGTTAAGACCCATCTACATAAGTCGCAAACGCAAAACGCAAACGCAAACGCAAACGCGGACGTTTCTCTCTTTCTTTTTTTTTTGACGTTTCTTTCTTTTTTTCTTCGCGTTTGCGTTTGCATTGTGCGTTTGCGACTTATGTAGATGGGACTTTATAAAATGTCGTGTTTTTAAAATAAATAAATTATTATTCGTGTTTAATATTTTCAATGAATAAAGTTTAGCGAATTAAATAAAAAACTGTTTTATTCTGTTTCTTATATATGTATATAATCAACGTGATTTACTGTTATGTATTAAAATTATAACTATTTCTCAATTTGTTTTCTACATCACGTGTTATTTTTTTATGATGGCTCATTGAAAAGTGTAATCATTTCTCAAAGGAGCATATTGACAACGTTGATCAACGTTGATCATTTACAGGAGCCAGGAATGTATCGATTACTAATTGAGTACCATGACATGACATGTCTGGCTGGTATCTTTCTTTATCCTTATTACATTATTTGTTAGCTCGTTCGAGGCACCACCGCGCCGTGGCGACGGTGGTGTTGCTCCTCGGGCGAAAAAAAGGAGGCCATTCAGCCGTGATCGTGCTCGAGACGTACCAAGTGTTAGAACACAGGACAGTGATAAATGAGAAGCTGGCAAGAAACACACGGCGAGTGTTGAAAAAGCGGCGGTGATTCCCCGAGAAAGCGAGAGTGGCCTGAAAACGTCGCGGGAAGTGGCGGTGGGAATTTGGTCTGTTACTACATCTTGAGAGGATTTTAGGCTTTTACTCAGAACTTTCAATCGCTCACTCGTTTTCCGAGGGGCTCTACACTGTTTATCGGATATTGACGCACGAAACGCAGATATCACGCTCGTTAGAGCGCGCGTGGAGAAAAAGACCGAGAGAAGGGTTACGGGATATACCGGATTAGCTGCAGTCAGAGAACCCGGATCGAGTTCTACGGGCGAAAGTGACTCGACGCGCGAGAATTATCACGGCGTACTTACGTATAAAAAATGTTTTCCTTTGTAGAAACCATTTCTAGAAAATATATGTTTCAGAGGAAAGGAAATATTAATTTGCATATTACAATAGCTAATTTAAATAAACGTAACGTAAACATATCGCCTGTTTTACTTTGTTATAGGTAAATGGAGAGAATTTTCTTTTAAAATTTACCTTGAAAATCATGTTAATTGTGAAACAATATAGTATTTAGGTAAATTTTACTGTGCACTACAATACATTTTACTGCGAAATCTTATTGTAGTGCACAGTAAAATTTGCCTAAATACTATATTGTCTCATAATTAACATGATTTGCAGGGTAAATTTAAAAAAAAATTCTCCGTGTATAGACACTAATGCTTATATTCAATGCTAATTTTCTGTAATTCACAAAATAAAATACAAATTTACTGCTTTTTCGCGTTAATGTAGAAATAATTCGGTATGTATAATATTAATATTTTATAATATATAATAGATATAATTTTTATCAAAGTTATCATAAAATTTGATAGAACGTTAGCAGTTATTTTGGATATGTAGCCTAATACGTTAAACGTGCGCATTTAGATGACCTCGCAATGTACATGACTAATTGTAAGAGAATTCATGACTGAGAACATCAGGGTGGCAGTCCTTATTTCCGTGTTGATTCAGAGGGACAGCTTTCGGCCCGACGCCGCTTTAATTATATATTTTGCCGCGGTAGGAGGGAGCAGCATTTCGAGAGTTATACGGTCGCACCGTGCGTGATTCATCGTTCATTTGATCCGCCGTTGTGTACGCCGCCATTTATTCGTCGGACCCGAGCAATACGTGCAAATGCACGCTCTATTTCTTATCGTCTCGTTTTCTATCGCATGACGCACGCATATAAGGGCTACGCCTCCCTCCGTGGAGAAGCGGAACGGGTGTATATATATATAAGTAAGGAGAAAGGCGTTTGACCGTAAGCTCCTGGAGCAGCAGATAATATCGGTATAAGGCGCTTTATTGCCGCCACCGTTACTTTTATTACCGACCTTGTTGGCAGCACATGACGAATGCTCTTAGCCATACATATATATATATATATATATATATACACGTATATTTAGTTTGGCGTGAAATAATTATTTATTATCGTCATTTGTATCCCCCAAAAAAGTTCCTTCTTTGACGGTGACATTACTTTATTTTGTCAAATAAAATATCTTTCCCCGTAGTTTCTCAAAAGATTACAATTGCTAGTAAACGCTTTATAATAAATAATAAATCAGTTCATTACGAATATGAGATTTTTAAATCAGCCACTGAGGATGCAACGTCAAACACGAACGACAAAAACGAAATTGAATTCGTGAGGTCTCTCGTGTCCAGTCACTTGATCGAATGCGCCGCAAGACATCGCGCGGCTGGCAATCCCGCGACCGTGAAGAATCTGAGAAGGCTTTAACAGCCAGTTAATTAGCTTTGTAATTAATAGAAGCACGTGCGCCCGTTCCGCTGACGGATAAACAGACGGCGTGAGAGGTTGCGAAAATTAATAAATGCAACTTTTCCCAGAATGCGTGCGACGATCCACTTTCCCGGCTGACAAGAGCACATCACCGACGAGATCTGCCTTCCGAGGGAAAACCGGCGTATTTAATAACGCTAATATCTCGTGTATTATTCATCGCCACTTTTACAACGTTCACGCGTCGCTTTTGCCGGATGTCCCAGTTCTGTAGCTACTGTTATGCCTTTGCACGTTCCATTCGCCACGCAGCTTCATTCACGGACGCACCGAGTCATGCATAATTTTTATCATAATTTTTTTCTCAATCGAAGACATTGAGATTACATCGATAGCATACGACGTACGGGAATGCTGTTGTTTGAAAGTAGAAGGATAAGCGTGCTACTTGGCGTGCTATTTTTAAATATAACGTTATCTTCCTTCCACTTTGAAATATTAGCTTAATGATGAATGTTATTAATATGTAAATTTAAATTGTAAAGAAGAATATACTTTATAACATAGGTATATATATAAAATCCCCTGTATTACTTTTTACCAGAAGATAAAGGCAAACGTTTCTTTGAAAACTGCTTATTGACGATAAATCTTCCCCGAGAAGATATTCGCGAGGGTACGTGAAAAAATATTGGGGCGGGAACTCTGAAAATTGCGCTGGGGGAAAAACTTTAAATAAGCCTCCGAGAGCTATAATGCCTAATGGAAAAGAATGGCATAAATAGGGAGAGAGAAAGTTTATTTTTACCGAGACGCAGATATATGGCACAGGCATTGTGTAAATAAAACATGCAATTATTGTAAATGTATGTTTTCCTATATATTTCTTTCGATCATTACTTTAAACGTGATGTCAATTTTCATTAATAAAAATAGAAAGTGTGATTTTCCCGTAAATCTATTGGCATAAAGTAAACTAATTTACTGCATCGATAAAACAATTAACAAAATCAAAAAATCATTTTATGTCACTAAAATATTGAGTAAAAATTCGAATATTAAATTTCTAGTATTAATAATATATATGTGAAAGTATTGTCGTTTTCTTTTTAATATTTATAATTGAAAAAATTATATTCGCAGTATGAGTCTAAATCAGCACGTCGCGATAAACGTTTTCCGAAAATTCGCAGCGCTTCTGACCCAGTCAGTTTCCATCTGACAGAGTCCCAGCCAGGTGACACCAAAGGATCGGTTTCTGGTTTGCGACGGAGAAAAAGGAACAGTCGGGGTCGTTACTCTCTCGGCGGATGACGAGGCAGGAGTTCACGGGTCTTCGCCGGAGTGAACGTGACTCATCCGCGGGCCCTAAGGAGAGAACTAAGAACGTTAGTGCGGAGGAAAGCAATGTTCTCTATGCCGTGGCTGACTCGCGAGAGCACATCCGGACGCGAAAGTCGATTCACGCTCTTGGATTGCGGTAAGAACATGATCATGGCAAATCGAGTGCCTTGTTTCGCGTAGTATCCACGATATCGCGAGGATTACTGTAAACGAAATACACGTACCGGGTGTTTCCAACATCTGGCCTACATGGATAAATCACGCGGATTCTTGATGGATTTATATTTCCTCCCGGCCGTGAAATTCATGATAAAACTATTTATCCAGATATAAAAATCCCATTTTAACTGCTGTGTGTCAAACTTTAAATGAACCTTGTTATATTGTAATAGTAATCTGTAATTTGATGTTTTTCATCGTCATAATATTCGAGATCGTATCTAACCAAATTTAACAGTGCTACACACGTTGAGAATCGCGAAAATCAACGATCAAAGCGATAGCACGATGTAAATCAACTTGAACGTGCTATTTCTGGGATTCAATAGCGTCATCTTTCTAAATAAACTATCAGAGGGGCTCGTCGGATCGATTCGGTGAATTATGCAGATGCAACGAGAAAGGGGAGTGGCTGATAGGATGCAGCGTCGATAGGATGGCGCTCGCACGTTCACAAACAAGGTGCGACAAAGCTCCTGAAAAAAAAAAGTTTAACTTTAACGGTGGTGGGCCACGGAGCTGCAGGGGATGTCGAAACGTTCACCATCAAGTCGTGACCCGCGCCATAAAGTAGCTTTTAAAGCGATCAGAAGGGAGACGTAAGGGCGATGCAGCACGGCCGTGCTGTCACAAAGGGATACATTTTTGCGGATTAAGGCGCTCTTTATGCGCTCATTGTTCACGAATCAGGCCATCCATGCGCTCAACCATCTCTACCCGTGTATGTACATAGGTGACGAAGGCAATTATGTAGGTCGCGCAACTGTTTTCCGTGCGTGGAAATCCTAACAATGGAGGATGATCCTTATCGAGTAACGTAATTATGCAAATTAATACGGAGGCTCATTTTG